CATTAGAACCGTCTCATCGAGACGAATCGAATGGCGGTAAGATCATTTCTCTACGATTAATATTGGCTGAGTTACGATACAATAAAGTTTTAAGTATAATTTTGGCTAAAATTATGTTAATTTTTGGCCGGAATTATGATATACTAATATAAGAAATTTTTTATATAGTCACATCTTTTTATAATCACCAAATATGGACTGTCCCAAATGTGTGACTATAAAGAGAGTTGACTGTAATTTTAAAGACTTTAGATTTTACTGTAGAAAATAAAGAATACCATGTAACATTTGGTAATGAGAATTATGTTAAAAAAAATAAAAATTGCAATCAATTGCATATGTACAAGACATAGAGAATATATCTCATGATGCATATTGTCATCTTGCAGCATGTAGAATCAATATTACTACGAGAATATGCTATTTCTCAAACCTGACAAGAAATTAATGCATATATGGAAGAATTAATACCCATTGATTTTATTGATTTAAATTTTACCATTGTGCAAGAAGGACCTTCAGAAAAACCTGATATAACTGATCCATTAATTATTGAACAAGTTATTAATGCAACTGGAAAAGGTGCTTACCGAAGTGTTAAAAAAATTCTTGAATATATAATACTAGAACTCCGAAAATAACTCGCATAAACTTGCATTTTTGACTCGTATAATTGTAAATTTTTATTTAATTATATTCTAACTTAATAAAAAGTACTTTAAAATTAAGGTTTTTGACTCGTGACTCAACTTAACTCAACTCATTAGGAGCTTTATATAATACCATCATTTGTTGAAAAAGGAATATTAGATCCTGCAATACCAACTATTCATCTTCGAATATCTGGTGATGAGCAGAACATAAGGTGAAAGGTGAAGCATGTGATGATTACCATAGCACTATTGGATGATTCAATAAACATTTATAAGCCAAATTATCATTATACAACTATCTTATTTCTGGGAAGTGAAAATTATCCAACTCTAAAAATTGCAGCAAATGCTCTTACTCAGGAATTGCAAGAACTGAGTAATATAGGAATGATTATCAATAATACTCTTTGGAATTTTGAGTTTTTTTTTAGCTTAGATTGGAAATTTCTCGCTACCTGTTTAGGTTTTAATGCTGTAAATTCCAATAATTTTTGCCCATGGTGTGAGATAACAAAAAACTAACGTGAAAATGGGCAAAATAATGACTGGATAATTAGTAAATCAATGAGTAGTTTAAACAAAAATCCAACAGCATATCCTGGTCATAAATTACCTTCACTTTTCAATATGATTTCACTTAAAAATCATGTTCCAGATAAACTTCATATAATGTTACGTATTACTGACTGTTTATGGGAGTTAGTTTTACAAGAAATTAAAAATGAGAGATTATTTAATGACATAACTCAGAATATTATAATTAAGGAGATGGAAAATTTAAAAATCAGGTTTGAGTTTTGGAATATTCATGGTACTAATAATTGGAATTACACTTCCTTAATAGATGATGATAAACTTTATGTTCTTTGAAACTTTAATTTGACAAAACTTTTTGATCCAGAACGTGCCGTATTAATTAAAAATTTGTGGGATGGATTTGCTGAATTATATGATCTTCTAGGAGAAAAAAAAACAGATACACAATATTTTCGTTTAAAAGCAAAAGCATGGTATAAATTATTTTTGAAAAAAATGGTAATAGATTCCAAAACTAATATTATTTTAGAATAAGGACTTTATCAATCATCAGATATAACCCCTTATATACATGTTTTAGTATCACATGTTTGGAAATTTATGCTTATCCATAAAAGGTGGAGATTAAACGCCTTTTCATGTAGTACTGTTAAAAAAAGAATCACGATCATGTCTGTTATTTTTTTAAGAAAACTCTCAAGAATAGCGGAAAATTTCAAAATAAAACATTAGCAATTTGTGAAATTTTGGAATATGAAAACTGACTTTTATTTTATACTCAAAATAACATCTCTCTTTCCTATCCAAAACCTCAACATATTCACATTTTATAATTTCTTTTAATACATTTTATATACATTAAAAAAATTGTTTTTAATTAAAAAAAAAAATTCAAAATATGTATATAATTTTTTTTTCTATTACAATAAAATTTTAGATTTGTCTCCCAAAAATGTATGTATATAAATCCTGCTTTACAATTATAGTTGTTTCCGAAATTCAATTGGCAAATCTGAAATCCAAAATTACAAAATCGTAATTAATTACGTATTCCGAAATTCTGAAATTTGTATAATAGTGCAAAATTGTGAATATCTTGGGATCTAGTGATCAGATTTCGATGTCTTACTACCATTCAATTCGTCTCATCGAGACGAATCTAATGATATGTGTTTTATTTCTATAGCACCGATATTGATAGAGTAAAATTACTATAAACATTTAATGAATTTTGGTGTTGGAGCACGATCTAGTGATTAGATTTGAATGAATTTACCACCATTCGATTCGTCATGACGAGACGATTCTAATGGCGGTAAGATCATCTTTCTAGCATTGAAATTGGCAGAGCTATTACGCTATAAATATTTAAAAGTTATTGGTACTATCAGAGCGCGATCTAGTGATTGGATTTAAATGATCTTACTACCACTACCATTAGAATCGTCTTATCGAGACGAATCAAATGGTAGTAAGATCATCCAAAACGGATCACTGGGTGCCGAGTTATTATTTGTTAAAGTTTTTATATATAAATTGGCCAAAATTAAGGCTAATTCTGGCCAAATATTTTCGTAATACGAAATTAATTACGGAGTCCGAAATTAATTACGGAATACGGAGTTTTTCTAATGAATTACTTAATAATTACAGAATTACGTAATTACATATTTCCGTAATACTAAAATAATTTTGGACACAAGTATATTTACAATAATTCTCTTTTGCATTTTTTTTACCTTTAATTTTCCATTCAATAATAACTTCTCTGGGATTATATCTAGATTTGCGTCTATAAGTGGCTATACTTTTAGTAGCACAACGAGTTGCAATAGCCAGTAGATTATTTTTCAAATGCTTAGGTGGATCATTAAATAAAACAACATAAGTTTGTTGTTCTTCATATAAAATTTTTGACCCCACAATGGATTATTCAAGATTTCACTTAATATTTAATATTCAGCAGATCTTTAAAAAATACACTTGTAGAGCTATGATGATGGATATATCCTTTGAAAATATCAAAAAACTGATGTTTAGTACATGTAACTTTTACCAAGTATAAACAGTATTTTTTAATATGAGATTTTCAAAAATAGGTGTGAATTGTGTGATAGTGACTATAGATGGATTGTGACTATATATGATAGATTTTAATAATAAAATATTTTGAACATCTAACTGGTGTGATTATATATATAGTAGAATGTGATTATAATGAGAGTAATTATAAAGGAAGTTGACTGTACAACATTTTTACGTGACTTTATAAAATCTGAATATTAGTTTTTTTTTTAAAAATATTATTTTTTTAACAAAAAAATCAGTACTTTTATTATTATCAGTTTTTCAGTAAGATGTTTTCAATTTTTTTTTACCCAACTTTTTATTTTACTTTACAAATATTTATTTTACTTAAAGTTTCAATAAAAGTATTTTTTCAGTTTAAATAATAATGTTTTTTTCTGATTTTTTTTTCTAAGTAAAATTATTGTCTTTAATATAACTACTTTATCTCCTGCCACTGTTTTGAATATGGCTGCTTCATTCCTTTTAGTTGTTATATTACTATTAGAAAATTTCATACCAAACAAAATACGAAATCTTCTCTTTAATATAGATTGTTTTTAGAAATTCCAATAGATATAAGGGGAGTGACACATATTACGTCATATTCATTTTACTATGAATTCTACCCCCTTTCCCCCTTGTCAGATTTAATAACCAATTAAATTTAATTATATAATTTATATAAATAGAATAAGTGTAATGTCAGATTTTAATTATCCCCCTCTCTCTCTCTAATAATTACATCATATGTGTCACTTCCTTAATTCTAAAATACGTTTATTACATCCCTACTAAATGTAATACACTGACTGATTGGCATTCGCCAGACACAAATTAAAAAAAAACAAGCCCTATTGGACAAAACTTTATTAACCATCTTCTCGCATAAATGATCAAAGCCAAAAAATTAATTAGATAAAAAACACATAAAGAAAATCTGGTTAATTTTATCTCCAGAAGTTTATGATTGAAGGTATCGGTAACTGTGAACACAAGTAAAATTTGCCACAGTAGACTTTCTCACTGATAACTTTCAAATTTTTAGCAACATCATTCTACGCTTAACCTTGAAACAGATGATGTGAAAAAGGTTTAATAAAATTTATTATATGTTTACCAATAACATACTAATATAAATTCATTCATATAGTTAAAAGTGATGGAGAAACTTTACATACTAAACTAATACATTCAACTAGAAACTATATAATCTTATGATATCCTAGATTTTAGCTTCTTTTTGCCTTGTTTGGAGTATTTTTATTGCTTGAAGTACCTTTTTTATTCTTATTACTTGGAGTATTAAAACTGGTTATGTGACAAATTACATGCTGTAGAAGAGAAAGAAGTGAAGTGTTCTTGCATGATTGTTGAAGGATCTGGAGTGGATTTTTCTCATGATTTTCATTCGTTATCTTGATAATATTGCTAACAATTTTCTGTCCATAAGAAATTTTTAGACATTAATAAACATATTTTAAATAATTAATTAATGATATTACAAATCTTTGCCTTCCACGCAAGTATAATGGCTGGAAGAACTCCTTTGCCAAACTCACTAATATTTGATAAGATGGTCAGCATTTTAGAACGAGAGATTTTATTAACATATCCTGCAGGAGAATTTAATCTGAGCAATAGTACAGAAAGTCCTAGAGAATTTGGAAAAATTAGTTAAGAATCTGGCAAATAAAAAATATGACGTATTATACCTGCATGAATGAATCTGATAGTCTCAAGCTTTCTGACTTTTTTTTCTTTCGATCCTATGTGAATGTATATGTATTGATCCTTCATCATCTTTGGCGTTTTCAATTCTCTCTCTCGTAGAATTTTTGTACCATTATAGCCTGTGTATAATTTTACCCGCTTTTCTGCACCTGTATTTCCTATACATGCAATAAATTATTAAATCTCCCCACCTGTTCATGATCTTCCTTGGCATCGAGCTCACAGATGGAACATTTCGATCTCTATTTTTTCGAGATGATGATGCAATATTACAAGATTCTCCCCTATTCACAAAATGATCTAGAGTGTTAATGATTAATTCTATGAAGAGATATAATCACCTGTCTTAGTACCTAATTGCTTCGATACCTTCTATGTTCTCAAACGTCTTATCTATAAACAACTATACATGTGACAGTAACCATCCTTTTAAATAATCTCTTTTTTTTAGGCTTATTCACAAATACTATATGAAATAAGTAGCATGATTAACATTTAATGTGTTTTTTTAAATTAAATAAGAGAACCTGCATCTACAGATTGTTAATAGTGTTCCTTATCCAGTCCCTGTCAAAATCTTTTTGTCAGTTATAAGCTGATTGCCATGGTTTTGAACTAAAAACCCATACTCTGAAGTCAGAAATTGTGGACTATTCAAATGAAATAGTTATCAAAACATTATTTGTAAATAATGGTCAAAGTATAATGATATGAAAAATATGTGCCAGTTGGTAACTACCAAGATATTCTAACAAATATTGGAGCAAATTCGGAAGTGATTTTTGATTGTATGTATAAATTTCTTTAAGTTCAGTTGGGGAGAAAATATTTTCTTCAACAAAAGTTCTGTCTTCTGAATCAATTATAAAAAAATAATAGAGACTTTTAACATGTTAATGACTTAGGATCAATAAAAATCTGATTTAAAACAGCCAGTACTTACTGTTCATAATTGCATTTTATGCCAAATTTGTATAACTCATCTTCAACAACCTTTCCAGATGTTAATACCTATTTTTTTGTATTTTCAAGTTTTTGGAATGCCTTTGTGAACTTATTAAAATCTTTCTCTGACATTTGCACTTGCTTGACTTCATCACTGTCTGTTACCAAATCTGATGTTTGTCATGGAATACTTGACTGGAAACTACTTAAACTTCCGGCTGAAGAACTAGATCTTCTTATTTTCATTTATTTATTTGTTTTGATCTACATAGTCCAAAGATAAAAAAGATGTTTTTGTGATCTAATAACATAACTGTTAAAATATACCAGTATAAGTTACTAACTTTACAGACAGAGGATGGCATATATGATTTGAAAAAGAGGAAAATATTAAAACATAATGAACAATGATCAATAGCATTAGAAAAAGCAAGACAATATATAAACCAATTTATTAAAGAGGGAAATAGGATATTTTGGAAAGTATATAATAACAAAAAAGTATATAAATATAATATACCCCTTTTTTTTTTCTTTGTTTAGAGGGTAATAAAAGCATATACTGAAATTTTAATCCTATATAATTCAATAGTAACTATAGAAGGATATAGGTGAAACTTTATAAGGTGATGGTAGAGTATAGGAGCAATCTTATGGATGGAAAACTGGTTTGGAGTTTTAATAAATTAGTTATATAACAGAGGCTTTTGTATTCTTATATATAATTAATAAACTCACAAATTGCACTACCTTGTAAAAAAAAAAAAAAAAAAAAAATAAAAA